TAACCATTCTAAAATGCCCAGGGCAGCCTCCCAACAACCAAGAATTATTCAGGCCAAAATAGTAATTGCATCCAGGCTGAGAAACCCTATCTGAAGGGAACAACTTAAATTACTTAGGATAGCTTGTTCATTCATGCATTTATTCATTCACTCACTAATTATTTCCTGTTAGGAAATATCTACCTAGTCATATTCCTGTGCATTGATGGAGTCAGTAATTCATTTTTAGAATATCTATCTATTAAATGTTATTTATTTGAGAGAGAGGGAGAGGCGAAGGGGGAGGGGGAGAGGGAGGGAAAGGGGGAGGGGGAGGGAGAGAGGGAGGGAAAGGGGGAGGTAGAGAGGGAGCGGGAGAGGGAGGGGGAGACAGAGAGGGAGAGGGAGAGAGAGAAAGGCCCCATCTACTGGTTAAGTCCTCAAATTCCTTCAACAACTTCCTGCTACACCTTAAGCCAAGAGCTAGGAACTCAGTCCAGGTCTCCCACATGCGTAGCAGGAACCAAATCACCTTCACCATCACTGCTGCCTCCCAGAGTCTGCATTAGCAGGAAGCTGTAGTCAGGGGTGCAGCCAGATACTGAAGCCAGACACTATGAACTGGGACATGGGTATCTTAACTGTTGGGCTAAACCCTCAGCCTGTGTAATGTGTATTTATGCAGCATCTACTGCATGCCACGCAGCGAGATCTAGAACATGAGTCCAGATCTTTTGCAGCACAGAGTATGCTTTCTAGTGGAAAAGAGACCAGGGTCTGAATAAGTGAACAAATGAATGGGCACAGTGATCTCAGGCAGTGGTAAGCACCATGGACAGCATCCAACAGAGTAAAGGGAGGGAATGACCAGGGCTGAGCTGGCTGCACATGCTACCGTTTTCAAGAGGCTAGGGTGTGAAGAATGGCCTCTCTGTATTGGTCATATGGAGCTGAGACAGGAGTGATGAGGAGCAAGCAGCCTGGCCACAAAGCTGGAGGAGAAATGTTCAAAATACAGAACACGACAGGTTCAGAGGCTCCAGTCAGGGAAGGCTTGGCTGGGTTCAACGACCAGAAACACACCTGGCTGAAGCTCTAATGGAGCAGGTGAAGTGGGTGCAGTGAGGTTGATGAGAGAGGCAGAGTCCGGCTGGACAGGGCCTCACAGGCATCAGTAAGGAGTTAACTGGAATTTCAGGTTCAGAAAGGAACCATGGGAGGCACGGATGGAACATGAGATGGTTTAAGCGATGGGAGTCCATGGGAGCTGGGCAGAGAATCCCCTGCAGAGGGCCAGGAGGGAAGTGAGTACCCAGTCCTTGCTGGAGGGGTCCAGCTTAGACAATAGTACTAAGAGTGGCGATGGAAGGAAGGAAGCGGATTCAGTGTCAAGTCCTGGACTTGCCTGCATGTGACACAGGACCCCATAGAGCAAGCTGTGGCCTGGGTTTTCCTGGCTGCAGTTGGTATAGAGTTCCTAGTTAGCCCTGGAGTTTTGGCTCCGTATCCTCAGTGGACTCAGTCCTTGAGCCTGTTCTGACTTTGCTCCCACGCACGTGGAGCTGTGTTTTCCTCTAGCAGGGGTGGTTGAGAGGAGTGCTGGTGTCTTCTGTGTATCACACATCCTGGTCAGACGCTCCCTATGAGAGCAAGGCTGCCCCTTTGGCTTGTGGGTCAGTGCACCCTTGGATTGAGACCATCTTTGACTGCTTGATCATTGGACCCCTGCAGTTGCCCAGGACCCTGCCTCACAAATTCTGCTTCTTCCATAGCAGAAAATTCTCTGGGAACTATGTAGTGTCACTCCCTGCCTCTGATCCCTGGGAGGCCCCCCGTGGCACTCAGAGTAAAACCCAAAGTCCTAGTCAGGCTGTCCTCGCGCCATTCCCTCCTTGGCTCAAAATAACGCATCTTTGGAATTCACTGTCATCTTTCTTCCCTCATCCTTTGCTTTTGAGGTCTTTTTCCTTCAGCATTGTACCTCCATGTGCGAGTTCAGAGGACAGCTACCCAAACACCTTCCTTCTTTAAATCAGTCAACAGCATGTATTCCCAAGGGGCAGGATATCTTTCCCCCAAAGATGGGAAAATTGGCTCTTAAGAGAAGAAAAAAAGTACTTACTCTTTTAATGTAAAAGGCACATATAGAACATAAACATACACACACATGCAGAGTACTTCAAAAAGTTTGTGGAAAATGAAACGAAAAGATAAGTTTACTTTGATGCCAAGTTTTAAAATCCATGCCTAGTTTTTTTTTTATAATAAGCATTTTCCAAGAACTTTGTGAAGATTCCTTATGCTCAGACTTCATTTTTTTTCACATCAAAATAAAGTTATCTTTTAATTCTATTTTACATGAGCTTTTGGAAGTACTCACAATCTCCCTCCCCTTCTCACTCTTAAGATTTCATGGGGAACCAATGAGGCAAAAAGATACATATAAAGCTCCTTGAGGGAGTCACAATGAAAGAAGTTGAAAAGCTCTGCTCTGTAGAAACTATGTTTCTACGCTCCACTTACTCTTTACCACATACCCTAGTTTATTTCCTTTCAAGGACTTATTATAGACAGCAGTTACCCTGTGGACTTGTATTTGCTTAGGTATTTTCTGTTCCTTCCAGCTCTTCTGAACTTAAGCTCCATGGTATCCAGGGATCTCGGCCATCTGTTCTCCATTCTGTCTCCAGCATCCACACAATTCTGGGCACACACCAGTCATTCCCCAAGTTTGTGATTCAGTAACCACCGTGATCAAAAATGACTTCTAATATTAGAACAATAACCCACAGGGACAACTGGATCCCTCCTGGATTTCAGTCCTCCCTTAAATGCAACCGGATTTGTTGGGCTTGTTTGGGCACTGAGTTTAAGTCTAAGTCCTCTTCCCTGCCCCATGGACAGAATTAATCTCTTAACCCTGGACTCATGCATTCCTAGTTTTCTCTCCTCCCTAACCCTAGAGAAGCCAGTTTCCATGGTGCCCAGTCCTACCCTGTTCCTCTGAAATACTATGGTAAATACAGTCTAGATGCTGGGGTTGATATCATAAAAAAAAATATTTCGAGAAAATTTTAGCAATAGTCTAACCATCTTGGCTATTACACAGCAGAAAGCATGGATGAGTATCTGATTTGATTTAGCAATAAATTGAATCACAGCGAACAATCAGCAATAGGAAAAGACTGGAAGGAAGTAAACCAAGATGCTAATGATGTTACTCTTCCCTGCACTGTGGACTGGCTGTTTATTTTTTCCTTATGTTTCTGGTTAGTTTATGAATTTCCTGTAATGAGCTTGCATTCCTTTTATCAAAATAAAGAATTCTGGTGGATGGGTTTTTGTAGTGTTAGAGACATATACAGGCACGTTGCGGGATCAAAGTTCTAGGACCAGTGTATTTGATTACACATTGATCACCCCAAAAAGACTTTCTGGGGAGGATTTCTGTGTGCAGAGAAGCCGCTGGATTTGGGCCCACTAAGTCTAGCAGGCAAACAGCAGTACTCTTCTTGCCAGAAATACACCCACCATCTGCTCCATAGAACTCTGCATTTGTTAGATTTTAAAAAAGTCTCCGTGACTCCCCAAAACACACCAAGAATTGTTATACCATAAGGCAACTCATCCATACATACTGCAAAGCAAACAAACAAGTGCATTTCTACATCTTTTGTGTATTTTTCAGGGCCTTCATGGCTCCTTAAAGCCAGGGTTACAAAATCATGACGTACAAGGATTTCCTGAGGGATCTGCCTCCTGAAATCCAAGCTACTTCCCTATTTCTCCTCATAAGCAGCTGCTGTTATTTGACATCCCAAATGCTCAAGTCTCCCCCTGCATCCTGAAGGGTTTTCTAGACCCTGCCTCCCCCTAGTGAGCCTCACACGAACCAACACAATGCATTCATGCTTCAGTATCTATGTGGGCTACATTAGGGGTTCTTAATTCTTTTGTAATGGAGGGCTGCTTCCAAACAGAACTTTTGTCAGATCAATGAATAGACTCAGTCCAACAATTCAGCAATAATGATAGCGTCCACCATAGCTTAACAAGGTCTCTCGGAGTTCAAAGCATCTGGGCTCAACACACAAATCATTTCAGCTCTAAGCTATCACCTGCCTTGACCTTGATCTCTTCTATACCCACAAGACAACAATATACATGACACCGCAGCAGTATAACCAAGGTGAACTGAGCACATCCATCAACCATCAGTGGCCACTTGGTGAAGGTTCATGTCCCAAATGAGGCACGTGGCCTGGGAACAATGGAGGAACTTAAGTAGTTCTTACATCCAAAGTCCTTTACTATGAGGCAATGACTTTTTACGGTCCTCATTTCAAATAAATGTAGATAAAGATCATATAGCAAAAGATTATACAAGGGTACTTCAAAATGTTCATGGGAAAACAGGATAAAAGGATGTTTGTGGGCCGGTGCCATGGCTCACTAGGCTAATCCTCCGCCTTGCGGCGCCAGCACACCAGGTTCTAGTCCTGGTCGGGGTGCCGGATTCTGTCCCAGTTGCCCCTCTTCCAGGCCAGCTCTCTGCTGTGGCCAGGGAGTGCAGTGGAGGATGGCCCAAGTGCTTGGGCCCTGCACCCCATGGGAGACCAGGAGAAGTACCTGGCTCCTGCCATCGGATCAGCACGGTGCGCCGGCCGCAGCGCGACGGCCGCGGTGGCCATTGGAGGGTGAACCAATGGCAAAAGGAAGACCTTTCTCTCTGTCTCTCTCTCTCACTGTCCACTCTGCCTGTCAAAAAAAATTAAAAAAAAAAGGATGTTTGTTTTGTGCAAAATGTATAGCAATCCCCAAATAGTTTTTAATATGCCTTTCTCATAAGCTTTTTGAAGAGTCCTCAAATGAATGGATTTCAATACTTTTTACACTAAAATAAACTTATCTTTTAGTTTCCATTTCCCATGAACTTTTTGAAACACCCTTGACTTTGGCTGCCCACACTTGCCTGGACTGAAAATAGGTGGTTATTTGCTGAGGGAAAGCCCCATCCTTACCTCCTCCAGGGCCCACAGGGAGTCAACCACGGGCTTGATCTTCTTCTGGTTGTACAGCGCTAGGAGCTTGTCCACCACTCCTCGAATGAGGCCTGCTCGGCCCTGTTTGAAGAGCAGATTTAGCAGGGAAAACCCTGCAATGACTTTGTTCTCTTCGTACAGCTTGATGGGGTTCACTTTCTCCACCTGCCACCACTGAAAGGAGAGATGGTGCTGGGTTACTGACGACTACACACAGGGCCTCGTTGCCAACACGGTCAGGGGAAACTGAACTGCAGTGGGGCAGACTCCAGCTGGCCAAGAGGCAGCTCCTGCGGGTATACTTTTTTAAATTTCCTATTTCTTACTCTAGACACTGCTATGAGTGTGTGAGAGACAACAGACAGTGGTGCTGATAAGCTCAGGCTCTAGGTAGGAAAGAAGAGTCCATAGCCAATGACAGGCTGAGCATCCCCAATCTGAAAATCTAGAGTCCCCAGTGCTGCTAAGTCCAAAACTCTCTGAGCTCCAGCATGACGCCACAAGTGTAAAATTCCACACCTGGCCTCATCTGACTGGTCACAAGCAAAATACAAGCATGGTAAAAACAATGTATAAAATTACCTCCAGTCTATGTATATGGTAAAGCATGAATGAAACATAAGTGAATTTGTTCTGAAGATATCATGTTATTCCAAAACCTAAAACATTCCCACATCTGAAACACTTCTGGTCCCAGGCTTTTTGGATAAGGGACACAACCTAGACCTGGCCCCATGCTGCTACAATGTTACTGATATGGTTTGCATCATCAGCCCTGGAGCTGAGTGCTGGCTCTGCAGCTTATTCACTGTTACCCTTTCTGCTTCATTTTTCTCAGCTGAGTACAGTGGCAGGATGTGACCTCCAATGACTCTGGAATCGCATTTTTAATTAAGTGTAAAGCATGTGTCTCAGTCAGTGGCGGTGGTGAAGTGATGTTGGGCTTGGGGAAGGGAACAGGGTGACAGAGAAGTTTACAAAGGGTTGGGGCACATGGTAAGGCCCCACACTGGAGCACCATTCTGCCTGTAGGAGCAGCTTTGCTAGCAGGGGAATAATGGCAAGACAAACATTGGGGGGTGGGGAGGAATTTATCAGGCAAAGTGGAGTAAGGGAGGGTAACATAGGAAGAAGGAATGGCATGAGGAGCAGAGCAGTGTTGGGACTAAACCAGTGGTCCACAATTGGAGACACTTCTGCCTCCTAGGAGAGGCCTGGTGATATTTGCGGATACGCTTGGTTGCAGTGATGGATAAGGCAATTGCCCTTGGCTTTAGAAGCCAAGGATGCCACTGAATATCCTATCATGCCCATGGCAGCCCTTAAAGAATGACCCAGCTCGCAGATCAATAGCGGTGAGGTTGAGAAGCCCCGGTCTGAAGTCCTGGGTGGGGAACAAGCAACTGGGGAGTGTGTGTGTCTCCGTGCTGTCTCTCATCTCCCCTTTCAGGTGTGAAAATAAGTAAAATGCCCATTGACAACCTACAGAAATGGTTTTTCCTTTCCAAAAAGAATTCAGGAGGCTCACAAAAATAAAGGATTTTGCTAAAAATTTTTTTGTTTGTAATTGGGAAGGAAAATAAATGTGGGAAAGACAGGTCAGAAACCAGGCTGAGGTTCATACAGATAATTCTCTACCAAGGTACTTTTGCAAGGGTCTGGGGGTAGCTCAAGAAAAGCTGTGCATTTGGCCATATTTTGACAAATGGTTCCTAACCTGATTCACGTGGAATCCACAATTGCCACATAGCTGTTGGTAAGAGAGTTTAGAGCCAAGTACTCAGTGTGGAATCCATCCCAACTCTGCCACTTAGTAGCAGTGTGACTTTCAGCAAGTCACTCGACCTCTCTGTGCCCGGTTTCTTCACTGTACCTCCCAGGGTCATTGAGCAGAGTCAGGGCATGAGCTAGGAGCGTCAGGAACATAAACAATTTTTATTATGATTTGAATTTGAAAGGGACGTTTTTGATGTAGAGAGTCTGGGTCTGGGGTCAGACTGCTCTTCAAATGTGAATTTCATGTGTTAGTGTCACACTGTGGCCTAAAAGCCGATGGCACCTGTCACGAAGAACGAAGGGCAAGCTTTTCAGATGCAACACAGTTCCTAGAGCCGAGGGAGAAATCCCTGACTGAGTCTAAGTGTTTGTTTTTATTGCATGTGTAGAACAAAGTTTTTAGAACTTTCCAGAGCGAAGTCACATCCCACTGTTTGGCATGGCGTCTCTCCAATCTGCTTTTCATTAACCAGAGCATTGGACCAGTTCTCTGAAAGGGAGCAGTGTTCATTCTTGACCTCCAGCCACTACGCTTTCTGGTAACGGGCAGCTGTGTTTTGGGCAGAGGAGAATCGGTCTCCTGCTGGCCATGTTGTTACGAATGCCTTCACTGAGCGCAAGCACACTGCAATTATTTTGTTAACATTGTGTTTGTCGGGACTGTGCATTTAGGGGAGAAAGGGAAAACACTTCTGATAATTGCATGTGATTTGGGAGCAGCGTGGCTACTCACAGCAGTCTCAGCATCGCGTTAATTACAGGCACAGCAACAAAACAGCTGCGAGTGGACAGCACCGTGTTCAGGGGACACTCTGCAGACAGCAGCTTCCACTGCACTCTGTTCTTCTTCTGCATGAAATGTTCTTCTTCTCCAAGAAATGTTGGAGCCCAGATTATCCTTGACCCAGACGTTCAAGCCCAAATGCAAATGGGAGCCCTTTGGTTTAATTTTGGGAGGGAAGTTTCCAGCAGCCAGAGCTGGCTCTTAGGGGGCATGTGAGTACCCACAGAATGAATGTGTAGAATGAATACTGTGCTCCAGATACCTCTGCACCATGCTGCCCTGTTCCATTTCAGCCACCTGTGCTCACACCATCCTGAGGTTTGAGAGCCATTTAAAGTGCCATGTTGATAAAATGTCTTGCCTGTTCTGGGTTTGTCCCCCTCAGTAGAATGTAAGGGCCAGAAGTCCACTGTGATACCTGGTGCCTGGCTCAGTGTCACATGTATCAGATGCTCAGAGAATGTTTGCAAGTGAGCGAATAAACTCATGGGCTGCATAATTTGGAGGCTGGAGTGGTTTAGTTCCTGGAAGTACAGCGCTGGGAGGGAGTGCACCTCTGAGTAGGTGCCTAGTGGGGTGAATGCCCAGAGAAGTGGCTTGTCAGTCAAAGACAAAGTATCTACTGTATTCAGAATATGTTCACTCGAGACAGTGCTTTATGAACTTGCCCTTGCCTAAAAATCATCCTGGGAACTTGTTAAACTTGTAGGATCCCCACTTTTGTCTCTTACTTGGTAGGATGAGATCACAGAGAACCTCGACTACATGGAACCCATAAACCTGGTGAGAAAGTGACTAAACTGGAAGACTGGTTTCTCTAAGAAAGAAATAAAATGCTACAGCCGAGTTCATTTTGAACTGATGTTTGGAAACGCCAACACCTAAGCCATCTCTGCTGAAAAACATCAAGGCTTTTTGGGATTTCACTGACACTCCTACCTCTGCTTCATTTAGGCCATAGTAGCCCAAGCCTTGGTCCTGCCTGGTGCCGTGAGCAGAGAAAGGACACAGGCTGTACTGAAAATGAATGATACAAATAAAGCATGAATAGGATTAGGTGAGTGTGTAAAGAAGAAGGAGCTCACAGCATGCACACCAGCACACCACCACAGCATGTTTCACCTGCATGGATACTTACCGATTTGGCAAAGCTGAAGAAGCTCTTGGTCTCTCCGGTTACCATGTTGGATGAGCCTGCAAATAGAAGAGTCCCAAATCAAGTCGTTGCTAATGAAAATCAACACTTGTTGATATGCGTGGACAAATGGTACTTGTGAGATAGACTGGCAAAAGCTGTTTTTTTTTTTTTTAATTTGACAGAGTTGGACAGTGAGAGGGACAGAAAGGTCTTCCTTCCATTGGTTCACCCCCCCTCAAATGGCAGCTATGGCCAGAGCTACGCCAATCCAAAGCCAGGAGCCAGGTGTTTCCTCCTGGTCTCCCATGCGGGTGCAGGAGCCCCAGGACTTGGGCCATCCTCCACTGCCTTCCCGGGCCACAGCAGAGAGCTGGACTGAAAGAGAAGCAGCCAGGACTAGAACCGGTGTCCATATGGGATTACGGCTCTGCAGGCAGAGAATTAACCAAGTGAGCCACGGCACCAGCCTAAATCAGATATAATTCAGTTTTGCCAGATGAGGGGAGTGGGGATGGGACATCGAGTTGACTATTTTAGTGAGGTGTCCCTGAGACAGAGAGTGACATCTTTCCTGGTACCCATTTCATTATATTGGAAAGCTGGGTCAGTAGCAAGAGTATGATCAAGGGCAAGGTTTTAATATAGTAATGCATCGCTGAAACGTCTTCCTTTTTTTTTTTTTTTGGCGAGTAGAAAGGAACTCCTGTGTGAACCTACTTTAGGGTTTTGAATTTGATTCCCTGGCAAGTGAGAGGCCTGGGGTCGTGATCTAGGCTGGCCATTTGAGGGGTGGCAGAAGAGGCAGATAATTTCAATGGGTGGGAAAACCAAAGTACGGTTGACAGCAGGTGAGGGTGGAAATCAGTTCAGAAGCCAAGAAATGATGCACCCAGTGCCCAGTATGTCATCTCCAAGGAAATCTAGGCAGAGGGGTGAGAACCATGGGAGACAAATGGTGTGGGAAGCTGAGTTTCAGTAACTGGAACCAGTGAGATTCAGAGGGCAGGTGGTGGGTGGAGTAAGATTCCCTAGGATGCTGTCTCGATGAGAACACGCCTTTGTGGAGTGATGGGAGAGTTCTCACTGCTGGGATGTTCAGATACCACAAACTGCCTTTTCAACAACTTCCCTGGCCTGTCCTCAAAGATTCAGGAGTGAGATATTCTCATAAAACAGATACTCAAAGGAAAAAAAACCACAGTTTCAATTTTTTGACCTGGGTAAGCTAGTAGTTAACCACTGCTTCTGCTTTGATGTGGTGTCTACCACCTGGAATTACAGAACCAGATTTTGATGATTTAGTGACCAAATTATTAATCTAATGAATTAGATAATTTTGAGATAATCAAGTTGAATTACACCAAAATGACGTCACAGACCTGGGGCAAAAACAGAAGTTCCTGTACATGACAAGTAAGGCTGAATAAATTTTCCATCTGCATTTGACTCACAGGTTAGTCATAGCTGATAGCCCTGAACTGTGCATTAACTCTCCTAAGTGTTTTTCATCCATAATAGTATTAAATTATGCATCTGTTTTCAAGTATATATATGGCCAGGATCGAAATCACCAGAACATTCCAGCAATGGAATGTTCACCTGTCTGGTGAGTGTGAGTTTCTTTCTATTATAATAATTTGATGACAAGAGAAAAATGCTTGAATGTTTATACCCCACAAACATCTCTTTTATAAGCTCCTCAGCTAAGAGCAGGGAAATGAGTAATTTTTTCCCAAGGTATCCAAAGTTTGGGCTCAGTTCTCTTGTGCCTATAAATATCTCTTTTATAAGCTCCTCAGCTAATAGCAAAGGATTTTTTTAAAAATATAAGCTACCCAACAGTGAAGCTCTATTTCTATTGTACCTACAATAGAAGTGCCAAGAATTTTAAATATCAGATAACTCTTCTATCACCTTGTTTTAGAACATGACACATGGCTTTTGTTGACCCCGTGGAGAGACTAATGTTTAATTTAGTTTGCGTGCCTAAGACAGAGAAGAGAATGAGGCTCTAGACACTCATTTGCCATAGTTGTTCTGGAGAAAAGTTGCACCCAGTGGTTTTTTCATAAATCTCCCTCAGACCCAAGAACACAGAGGTAAATATGGAAGCAGATGGAACTGGACATGTGCTGAATTCATTTAGGACTCACAGGAGAACCTGGAGGCAGGAGAGCCTGGCCTTTACAACTTCAGCTCCAATGGGGAAGAATCCCCCCTTGAAACTTCCATGTCCTACCTCCACTTCTCCACTGCACAGCAGGCCCTTCATGCCTTCATTTTTGAACTTCCTTTGAAGCCGTTGGTATTTTCTACCTGTGACAACTTCCATGGGTCAAGTCCCTTAAACAGCTCATCTCAGTGATCACATTTGCCTGGCCTTGCTGTATCCCTTTTGAAATGGTAGCATAGAAGGCACTAGGCACCTAAGTTGTTTTGTAATTGAAAACAACTATAGTGATACGATAGAAAACACCGAAAAATTAAACACCCACAAACTCCCTACCCCAACATATCAGCTTGCTTCATTTTTCATAGCCCTTTGCCTTGTAGGCACAAGCATAGCATCTCCTGCTGCTGACCATGGTCCTGCTTCTTTGTAGCACTCACCATATAAAATGTATGTTCCCAGAGGTTTGAGAAGACTGAGGCCTTTCCCGGTATTGTCCCCACACAGGCAATCCAAAACAATGTCCACACCTTCAGAAGAAATTCTAAATGGTAAGAAGACAAGGCAGAATTACTGCAATGCATCAGGAAGCTAACCACCCAGCCCTTTCCCTTTGGGTCACATTGTTTGACTCACAGAGCCAAGTCACAATGAATACGGCAGAAGCCCAGGGGGTACTAGTCATTGTCCTTGAGCCACCAGGGCTAATCGGGGGCTGCAGCTCACTACCACCACTCGGCATCACAAGAGTGTTGTACCTCATCTCCCTAACCCAGGAAAAGATCCAGATTCAAAATTCGAAGTGTGGTTTCCAACAAGTAAGTATGGCTTCCACGCTAACTTAAAGTAGAAAAAGACCATAAATGAACCCATCATAAATCAGGGAGATCTGTATCATAATACCACAGAACAGCTAAGACCTGGCTGGTAGCTGCTACCCGCAGCAAGCCTGGGGTAGGACAGTTAATGTGGGCATTAGAACCAGAGGGTCTGGGTTTGTATGTAGCTGCCTCCATCAACTTCTCTGAGCCTTGGCTTTCTCTTTTGCAAAGCAGAATTACTATGTTTCTTTGTAGTAAGAATGAAAAGAGGTAACCAAAAAATACTTGGCTTAGCTTGCCATCTGACAAGTGCACAGTGTCTATTTGTGGAGCAAAGGCTATGTGGCAGGCTCTGTCCATTGTGCTAAGGCTGGAGTCACAAACAAAACCATGTTCCTGGCTTCCTGGAGCTGATGATGTAGCAGAGCCGTGTTTTCCTCTCTTCTCAGAGACAGAAGAAATAAAGGCACATTTATCTGACCTGCAGACATCTTCAGGTCAAACCTACAACTGACTTTTAGAGGAAAAGGGTTGAATTGAAGCAATCTTCCTACAGCAACGGAAGGTGGCAGAGTAGGGGAAACCCACGTTTGCTCTCTTAAACAAACAAAATGTTTGCTGATCTCTTGTTCTATTCATTTATTTATACATTCATTGATTCTCTTAATCACTAATGCACTTAGCAAACACTTGCTGAGCTCTGCCTGCTAGAAGACATGACAGGAGAGAACTGGAGACTGTAAGGGAGGTATTCATGTGCATGGAAATTCCTATCATGGCTGTGCTCTGCCCTATTCTGAGAAGGACAGCGCTCTCCAGGTTTCTGAGTTTGCAGGATTATCTCATCTGAGCAAGGATTCCCCCCATGCTCACCCCTGCAAAGTGCAGGCATGGTCAACAGCTAGGTCCTGGTTCAGTCGTCACTAGGAACCTGCAGGTGCATCTCCTGGACTCAGACACTGAGGTGGCTGTCCCATGTCCAGTGACAGCTGAGTCTTGTTGGGAATGTGTCCTTCCAAAGCCCTCGAGTCATGTTAAAAATCTAGCCCATCACCAAGACTCATCTAAACCATCAGCTTAGCTTCCTGCCTAATACGGCTGACACCTGCACTGGTTGGACTTCTGTTGTCTCACCTGGAAGTTCAGAACCAGGGAATTGGGACAGCAGGTCTCACACCTTAGTGTACAAGGGAACTGCCTGAAGGAACTGTCAAACACAGGTGGTAACTGTTCACCTTGTCTGTGACTTTCTGATGTAGCAGGTCTGAGGGGAGTGCTCAAGATGTAGATTTCTAACAAATGCCGAGGCGCTGCTGCTGGTCCCAGCCCCACACTGGGAGAGCCACCGTTCTAACTCAGCTACTCAGGAGCCAGCATATTTTATTAATTATTTTGTGCATTGAATGTTCAGTGCTGAGCACCACACATGGCACTGGGGGATGGAGTGGCAAAGTCAAACTTGATTTCTCCTCTTTGCAGACACATTCACCAATAATCACCAAAATAAAAATGAAGCTGAAACGGGTGTGCCACAAAAGTGCGATAGAACTGTGCACTGGGGGTTTTCCCAACCAGGGTTGCCAGAGAAGGCATCTCTGAAGAATTGAAGGAGATAACTAGGTAAAGTGTGCAGAGAACAGCATTCAGGCAGTGAGAAGAACATGTGCAAAGGCCCTGGGGTGGGAGGGAGACTGGGAAGCAGCCAGTGTGGCTGACAGGAGAAGATAAAGGGGACTTGCCGCAGGTGGAGCACGCACACTCTGTGGTATGTCCTAGGCTGGGGCCTTCCACCAGCTGATAAGTTTTGCCACCTGGCATGTGATGTGCACCAAGTAACTATCTTCCTGTCTCCGTCGTTGCTGCCTGGGTCTGCTTTATGCCAGGTTTGCTCCCTCTGGAGGGAGTGGAGCTTGCTCTGCTTCTACCAGGCAGCCCTCCTGGGTGAGCCAGTCCTCCCCATGAGCTCCATTTCTCCAAGACCTGTCCCCTGGCTGCCTGATGACTTCCTGAAGTCAGGGACCACTTTGCCAAGTGTAGGCTGTGCGTATCTTCGAGGAAACCCCTCATGGATCTGCCCCAGTACTGAGTTTGCACTTCTTCCCTAATGCTTCTCATATCTGTATTCTACTGATGGGTTCACATCTCTCCAAAACTGCCAAACACACTTCCTTGTATTAGCCACTCCACATCGCCTATTGCCCTATCCTCTAGGCTCTGACTCTGCAGAAATGCAAAGGCTTCCCACGGCAGGGGTAGACCTACAAATTCCTGCCCACTCCCCCATCCACTAATAGCTCAAGGCATTTTAGCTTTCTGACTGTTCTAAAACTTTCCTACCTCAGGGCCTTTGCACGTGCTGTGATTGCTGCCTGGAAAGTCTTTCCCAGCTCTCCCTCGAGTCGGCTCACTCGCACATGGGCTCCCCAGGGGAGCAGTAACTAACCTCCCATGGGAGTCAGCAGCCCTCACCCTCAATTCACCTACAGGTTAGTTCCCTGATGCATAGGTGTCTACTCTGGGGATAGTTTTTCAGTATGTATCTTGTGCTATAATCATTTTATCTACTTGCTTACTTATGTGTTGACTGTGTCTTCCACCAAAATAAATGAGCCCTGTGTGTCAGGACCCAAATCATGCTGCTTATTGTTCCATTTGTGGGCCCTCTCGTTCGAATGGATGTAGTGCCAATGCTCAATAGGAGTATGTTGAGTGAATGTATGAGAGATGCGATGAATGGATGAGACATCAGCACAGCCGTCCCACATCTCTAGCCCCAAGCCTCCTTGAACTCTCTCCTGTACACTGGCTATCTCATAATTAGTCTCCACAGCAGGTGTTGGGCACCTCTCCCAAGCTTATGCAGCTACCACTGCTGGCACCCAGATCTAGGTCTAGTCAGACATCAAAGTGGAAGGATTTTTCACCACTCTCAATCTAAGACTTAATAAGCATTCGAGCAGTGAGATTTTGGAAGCATCACTCTGGCAGGCAGTTCTGGGAAGCTGCCAGTTGATTTTAGTCTTTGAAGAATTCAGTGTTGTCTTAAAATAAACACATATGTATCCAGATTTTGATCTTATTTTCTTTTCATGTGTATTTATTTTTGTATAACTGAGGAGGGGGAGGTGTTAGATCTTCCATCTACTGGTTCACTCCCCAAATGCCCACAACAGCCAGTGATGGGCCAATTTGTAGATAGGAGCCCAGGACTCCACCCAGGTCTTCCACATGGATGGCAGAATGCCCAAGCACTTGAACCGTCATTGGCTGTCTCCTGGGATAGATGAGGAGGAACCTGGGTCAGAAGCAGAGGAGTCGGGATTTCAATCAGGCACTCTGGGGATGCAGGCATCCTAAGGGGCAGCTTAACCTTCTGCACAACACCCAGCCCCAGAGCTTGACCTTGCTCTTCCAGATGTCCAGCCCAAGAGGGCTCCGTTTTCAAGCTATTTTTCCTCCGGATTACGGGAGAGGCCCAATGTCAGGGTCACAAACACTTGTCCTAGATTTTCAGCCACTGGACAACCATTGCTGAGTACTTCAGTTGAGGCACTGGGTGTGCAGAGCTGGGAGGATGTATACGAAGGCCCATTTTCCCTCACATCTGGGGGCTTGTGGGCTCCTAGGAAAGGCCAGTGTTGGAATGTGCCCCCCCCAGGAACGATGTGTAGGGAACTTAATTGTCATTGTAACAGTATTAAAAGGCGGGATCTTTAAGAGGGGCATACGCCCTGAGGACTCTGGCCTCGTGATGGATGAATTAAGGAGTGCGTGTGCTCTCCTGGGAGTGAGCACCTAATAAAAGGCTGAATTCTGCCCCCTCTAACCCTAACGCTAACCCTAACTATAATCCTCCCCACCTCTCCTTGGGCATCTCTGCAGCTGAACCACATGATGGGAGGGGGATGTACGTGCACAAGGGCCACAGAAACCACACATCTCCCTCCGGCTGCATCTTTTGGAAGACTGGAGTGGGTGAGTCAGGATAAGTAGGGGAGATGGATTCTGGGGTGGGGGAGAAGCTGAGCAGGGGCAGATGTCTTCTCCAAGGACCTGAGGGTGGCGGCGCTGGGGCCACCGCTGTGAAAGCATTCCAGCAGACACTGCTGCTTTGAGGGCAGGAACGTGCCTTCGGGTAACAGTGCTCCATCCCCATCCCATCCTCCCACGCTGAGTACATGGACCACACTGAACCGGACTCCGCTGGGGCCATTGCACAGGGCCCTGGTCCCTCCCAGCAGCAGCCCTGGGAGCAGCCCTCCCCGCAGTGGGCTCACAGTGGAAAGCCCCTGAGCAGGGCTCTGGCCGGAAGAAATGAAATCAGGCGAGGCACAAGCGCCCCTCCCCACCGGCCCACCCCCATCTCTGGCCATGTGCATCCTGCCTGCGTAGGTATAATAATTACATAAAACATGGAAGGCTGGAGCGGAGGTGCAAGCATGGTGGTTTCCACGCCAGCTTTCTCCTGCTGTCATAAATCTCTGTGGATTTTAAAAGGAAACGCAAATAGCCCCAGCTCAGGGATCCTCTGGCCAAATTCTGCAGCGAGATATTTTGGAATTGCTGAACTCAGAGCTTCCTGTGTGTCCTTCCTTTGTCCGCACCCCCCCAGCCTCATCGCTCCACTGTGAATGCTGCCTCTCTGCTCCCTACCCACGCGGGCCAGGGAGGAATTCACCCCCAGGGGTGGTCAGTTCTGATAAAGCCATTACTCATGGGGGAGGGGTGAGTCCTGCCTTTGGCCCTGCCCTTGCCCCTATCCAGGGTCAACTCTCCTCTTTATGACCCTGACTTCCACTCTGCCTCTGTATCTCTGAATGCACTTTTATCTAGATGGAGGGGACTATCGCAGTTCCCCCTCCCACCATGGCTCTGCTCCTTTCTGCTACTCACACCCACACTCACTCTCACGTGGCTGTGGCTGTTGCCGTGGCCGGGGTGCAGCTGGCCCATGGGCCGCTGAGGAGCCAGGCTGCCTGTTGGAAGGCATGGGGCAAGCAGTGTGCGATGCTAGGATGCAGGAGAGGCGTGGGTGAGGGCTCCACAGCCTCTGTGATGTGGCATCTGGGGTGCCATGGACATCTCCTTCATCAAGTGGGGCACACCCCAAAGCCAGTTCACGAATGTGCTTTGGGCTTCCATTTAGACGCTGCTCACCTGTGTTCTCCTGTGGGCCCTGTTAGGGGTCCAGCAACCCCCCGCTGAGCGATCGGACCCACTAGTCTACAAGCATCAAGTCAAGAGACCCGCGTGTCTGGCTCACTGCTGTGTCTCTGCAGCCGTCTGCCGACATCAGTAACACTTGAATGAATGAATGCATGCATGTAAAGGCGGACATAATACAGTGTACCCATTTCCCACCAGATGAAATTTAAACATGCTTTTTTTTAAGCATTTTTTTTTCTTTCAACAGCCTCATTGAGACAAGAAGTGACCTGCAGTAAATTGCCCATTAAAGTGGACAGGCTGGTGAGCGGTGACGTCTGTCCTCACCTGTGAAATCACCAATCCTACCCCGATATAATCGACATATCCTTCCCACCCAGAAGTTTCAAGTCATCTCGTCCCGCAAGAGGAGTTTGGTAAAATAGAAAGTGCATAGACTCGCACAGCTTTGAGGCCAGATCCCCTCCTGGGACTGGGCTTCTCTAACTGGAAATGAGGAATTTTTGCCTTGCAGGACTGCCTCAGGCACACACAAAGTGCTGGAATCAGGAGTGGGCGGGTAGCCTAGTGGTAAAGGTGCCGGTTAAGATGCCCACGACCCACATCAGAACCCAGCCCTGGGTTCCGCTCCTGATTCCAGCTTCCTGCTTGTACAGACCCTGGGAGGCAGCAGGTGGTGGCTCAAGTAATTGGGTCCCTGCCACCCACATAGAAGACCTGGTTTGATGTCCTAGCTCCTGACTTAACCAGTCACAGCTCCAGCGGTTGTGAGCCTCTGGGGAGTGAACCAGCAGATGGGAGCGCTCTGTCTCTCTAATTAGTTGATCTGAAATGCTCTCATCACTGGTCAGCAGCGTGAGAGGAGACCAGAAAGGGCAGCTGCTGTTGTCTGCACTGCCCTGTCCCAGCTGCCCTTACTGCCCACTCCCCCAGCACCTCCCTGGGGCTGTGCCTCTCAGGCCTGCGCTGACCTCTCTCTCCTTACTCCTGAAGCCCTTACAGACAGATGCACACAACTCAAAGCTTCCACCTCTTGCTTGCGTTCCCCCAACACAGAGAGTAAGTTAAGTCTGTATCATAAACATTTTTTTCTGTTACCCTTATAATGCCTGGATAAGGCTGAGAGGCATTCAAAAGAGACTTACTGGCTGGTTTATAAGAGTTTTCATCTCAAAACATTTTATTACATTTTTCTAGTTCACCATACATGTAGAAGTGGAACAATATTAATGATCAAAAAATAAAAGGGAATCACCCTGCATTCCCTTCTCTCCCTATTGCATGCTAGGGGGTGCATATTTCCCCGTCCTTTCATTGGATGTCCATATGCACGAGAATTTGCACAAAGCTATGATCACCGTGTAGCTGGAATTTGGCATTCTGCTTTTCTGTCAGTATGCTGTGCTGCCATAGGCATTTTTCCGTTTTGTGACAGCCTTCATAATTGTCATTTGTAAGGGGCTGCATAATGCCGAAGTCTGTGGGTGCAGCATAATCTGATCTATTTCTCTTCTGCGCACAGCGGAGGCTGCCTTGGAATTTTCACGGTTGCAGACAATGCCAGGACTCTCCCTGGCAACACAGCGCCGGGCTGTGACCAGGAAGCAGAAGCAGCACCTGGCCTTGCCACAGGCAGCTTTGAATCTGTAGCTTTTATCTCCTGCTTGATTGTTTCCCGAGGGTAGGGCTACTGGGAAAGCAGGCATAAACGTATTCTTAGGTATTTGACATAATTCCAGGTCTCAAGATAAAAGCACAAGGATTGCTGGGATTGCATCTGCAGGAAGGTGGCGGTGGGTGGGTCTCAGGTACGCTAGGCTCTGCTCTTCTGACAGCAGGGAAATCACCGATTCAGGTGTTCAAGGAACAGGGCAAGGGCAGTGAGCAGACGGCGGCCGGAGTGGTTACCTGGGAAATGGCCAAGGCAGGGGCTGGCTGGGTACGGCTGTCCTCTGTGGGGAGAACCGCCATCTCCTGACCCTCTTCTCCCACTACTCCCACGTCCTCCCTCCCCTGGCTGCACTGGCCTCTTCCAGACTCCCAAATGCACCCAGGACCATAACACATGCCCTTCCCTGGGCAGCTTCTCGTCCTTTCTCAGCCTAAACCTCATCCTTTCATGGATGTTAACATCTGGGTGTTCACCAGCACCTTGCATTTCTCAAATGTGGGACTCTCTGGATTCTCTAGATAGTCTGAATTTTTTAAAATTTCATTTAAGGTATACACTTTTCATGTATTTCATATATACAGACTTAGGAACATAGTGATACTACCACCCTATCCTCCCTCCCACCCACACTCCAACCCTTCTTCCTCCTCCCTCTCCTATTCCCACTCTTAGTTTTTACAAAGACCTATTTTCAGTTTACTTTACATTCATAAGATTAGCCCTACACTAGGTAAAGAGTTCAGCAAGTAGTATGAAGAAAAAAGCACTGTCCCTCAACATCTCCATGCTGGAGCTGGAGATCAGGGATTCTCGAGGTAGTTATTGCCTGATCTCTTTTCCTAACACAGAACCTAGCCTATCACAGATACTCGAGCATATTTGTTAAGCAGGGGAGTCCACGAATCAGTGAAAGCCTGCTTGAAAAAAATGTCATTTAAAAGTGCAAGAGAAGATAAGAACGGAGAGTAGTTCATTTTCCAGACCATAGCTTGGCAGACTCAAGTTAAAAGTGTTGAGAACTGCCAGAGAGTTCTGAACCAGTCAGATGGAAGTCTTTAAAATCATCCGGCAACCTCTAGACATGCGAGAAACAGAGGGTGGACTTCTCATAGCTATCTTTCATGCTATACGTTCATGTCCTGCTGGAAACATTGGGACAACTGTATGTTGTATGCAAATCGCTACTTCAAAATTTTGAAACAGACCAGGAAATTCAGACCATGGGAAGACTCTCCTTGCTAAGCATGGCCCAACTTTCACCAAATCTGGTCTGAATCTGTCACTTTAGTTAACCAACTCTCATCCTCTCTGACCTTTAAATTTTGCATCTAAATCTGTGAGTTGGAGGGAACTGTTTATCCATGCTAACTGGGCAACTTAACTGTTCCTTAAAATTTAGTGCTGGAAAGTGACCACATTGCAGTAACAGCTCTGGGCCATCTCGAAGTCCCCGCAGGAGCTCTGAATAGAGCAGATCCTGACCGTGAGTGGGGAGCCCTGAAGAGCAGCAGCAGTGAGACATACAAATCATCTGAAATCTTGCTGCTAACTGGATTTTCCACCAAATCACTGTGTTAACACCCACCTGATCAATAACTTCAGGATCACAGGTGGGACATGGATCAGGTGGCAAAGCCTGCTGATGGACATCCCAGCTTCATGCCTGTCTTCATTCTCTGCACCAGTGATTGTCCAAAACCCCAGTCTGATCGTGTCACCACTTTGGTCCCTCAGGGGCTCTTGGACACACCCAGGTGGGCCTCCACACTCCATGGCTTGGCATATGAAGTCTTCATGTGCACCTGGTATCTGTCTCCTTCCCCAGGCTCACCTCCTGCCTCTCCATCCCTTACATCCCCCACCCCAGGTGCCCCTTTTCCATTCATAACTTGCCCGGGCAACCAGACCTCCTGGGACTTGTACCCCCATTAATCTTTCTTGCAGTTCTCTCAGCTTCAGAGGCACTTGCACACCTCAGTATGCATGCACGAGACATTCCCTTTGTAGAACAGACCCCTCTGTACCCTGTTACTTCTACAGGTGGCCTCTCCAGTTGGGCTTCACTCTTCAGAGAAGCACTGTGTACACAGCAAGGGCCTGAGCTCCAAAGTCAGAATGCCCGGTTTGAGTCCAGGTTTCAGTGTTTACTAAGCCGTGCAGGCCTGCCTGGGCACAGCGCTAAATGCAAGGTTTCCAGTTTGCTTCCAGTAAGGTGTGGCCAAAGGACCTGAGAACTAGCAATAGAATATGAGCAACACAAGTATTCCTTCTGGGACTAACCCAACAAAGCTCCCATTCATGATGCTTCTGTGCTGTTTCCCCATTTACCAGCAGGAAGCAAAGGATTGTAGACCCAAGACAACAGGGGCACAAAAACCCTGGGTCCCTGACTATTTCCGGAAGACCATCCACCAACTATCCACCTTAGTTACATGATTGAATGAGAAATAAACATCTGTGTGTTGAGACAGTGCGGTAGCAGCTAGCACTGCTTTAATGTTTTGGCTTTGCAAGTTACTCAGCTGCTTTGTTCCTCAGGGATAATAATAGGATTTAAGAGGATTACATGAGCTAAGACATGTGCAGTATTGGGCAGAGAGCTAGGGATACTAAGCTCCCCAATGTATGTATGTGTTCTATCACTGTTCTTAGCTGCCTTTTAAATGGATGCAAGTGTTCTTCAAGAGAAAACCAAGGGCCAACCTGGTGCTCTCCAGAGCAAACACCTTACCTTTTTACTTCTTGCACATAGTCTGCATTTCTGTCGAAGAGGTGGGTCACCGAGTCTTTGATTGCTTCATGCTTGAAGGTAGAAGCTGTTCCAAAGACAGTCACATTGGGGATGGTGGAGCACAGCTGAGCCACGGCCTGGCCCTGCAAGTGAAGTACAGTAGGCAAGTCAGCCATCAGAGTCACCATCTAGCTAGCAGTCCTGCTGGCTGTGGAGCAGAAGTGCTCATCTTTGGCATTGCTGACATCTTTTAGCCTTTGTTGGCCGATAGATGCATTGTAAGATGCTTAGCAGCTTCCCCGGCATCTACCCACTAGATTCTAGTATCCCCATCCTCCAAGTTGTGACAACACAAACTGTTGAGATATTGCAAAATGTCCTTTGGAGGGCAAAAATCTTCCTTGGTTGGGATCCACAAGTGTGGAAGAAAGACAATGGGGGTCATCCACACCCCAGGGCCTAGACTGACTATTATTTAACCACAGTGAGTGACAATATTGCTACCTACTCCATAGATATCTCAGAAGATGTCTTGGAGTTCCCAGTAGCAGACCATGACACAAACATTTGAATGTGAGTGCTTTATTTGTAAGATGGTCTCAGGAAAGAATATGGGATTAACACAGATGAGGAAGGCAGTCAGGAAAGAACTTGCTCTCAGGACCACATCCATCAGGGACTACTGGGGCTCGTACGTGCTAGGGAACTCCATGAACAAACGTAGAATACAGTTCAGATGATCACAGCTGAGGGGTGAGGAGCCCAAAGTATTGATCCAACAGATTTCCATGTGCTATTGATTGAGGGCTTCTTCTCCACCAGTAATTCTCACATACATCTGGCTCATCTTCACATGTCAAGGGTGCCCCCACGACCAGATGAGACCCCCATAAGCAACCTTCAGCATGTTGAGTTGGGTGTAGACAAGATAAGTATGACTGACAGCATCTGCTACAGAGAGGGTTAAATGAGGGTTTACGTAACACAGACCAAGGACCCAGCACAGAACGAAACACTTAGTAGATACTTCATAAATCTTAGTTATCATTCCCCCTAAAGGGCTTATTATATTCAGAGCTGAAACATCCAGGCATATAAAGAAAAGGTCAAGATGAGTTTTAAATATTCAACAGCCCAGGGGGAACTCACAAATACAGTGAGGAGTGGTGATTTTCCCTATCTTTTTCAACATGGTCAAAATTTAAGTTGTTGGACAAAATACTGTGACCACATTCATTCAAAGATCTTCCAATAAAATCCAATTTGCTGGTAATTAAGTTGTATTCTAGAGCCAGGCAGTATTTTCCCAGTGTTCCATCCACCATCTTCAGGGAAATTATTCTACCAAAGTCATCTACAATATTAATTTCCGCCATCATCTTATTTTCATGTCTTCATAGTGGTGGACTAATTCAGGTTGGCAGGTCAATTTATGGAAATGTTATCACCAGTTGCAATTAAAGACAACACTGAGAGAATTACAGAATGTCAGAATTGGAAGATCATCCAAGTACCTTCTCCCCATCACTGCTTTATAGATGCGGGAAAGGACACTCGAAAGGTTAAGGCCACCTAGTTTTTCAGAGGCACATCTGGGATTCCAAGCAAGGTCTCCTGACTTCTAGTTATTGCCATTTTCTATTATGCCATGCTGTCTCCTTATTTTGACATTTTAAGCTAAGCAGACTTTTAAATTGCTCCCTAAAATAGATATGTCACTGGCATGCTTACTTGGAGGTCAACATTTCAGAGCCTGGGCATGGACCTGACACTCTAGACAAAGCACAGTTCTCTGTTCTAAGAATAACTTGGTATTTGTCTAATTTTTTATTCTAGATTTTATAAAACAAAGAGGGGGACTATGGTTTCTTGTGAATACAAACATTTGCAAACACAGAATTTCTCTAAAACTCACTTGTCTCACAGTGACAGCTCCACGTTGATAGGGCTTGGGATAACCTTGTTAATACTGCAATGGCAAACTAGAATTTGACCCATTTTATTTGTCCTTATAGTCTCATCTGTCCTGTGTCCTTGGGTAAACATGGCTTTTCGTCATTTAACTTTGCTTTAAATGTCCATGTGTCAGATTCTTACTGCTGTAGATGCCAGAGTATCAGAAATGACTAGCACATCATCTTCTCTGGTTGCAAGCTGGCCATGGAGTTATGGGTTTTCATATCTCACTACCATTTTTGATAGGTGTCTCTACCTGGCTGCCACCAAAACTGTACATCAAACTCATGGCTGTCTCCAAATACATTACTGCTTATGCTGGGATTAGTTTGTGAGGGCTGCTGTAACACAGTTCCACGCACCAGGTGCCCTAAACAACAGAAATCTTTTCTCCATTCTGGGGACTCAAAGCCCAAAATCATGGTGTGGCACAGTTGGTCCCTTCTGAAGGCTGATCTGTTCTAAGCCTTTCTCCTTGGCTTGCCAATGACCATCTTTTCTCTGCATCATCTTCCATCATTTTCCATCTATGCCCATCTTTGCCAAGTGTCCCCTTTTCACAAGGATATCAGTCATACTGAGTGAGGGCCCATCCAAATGACCCCACTTTAACTTGATGACTTCTGTGAAAACCTTGTCTTCAAATAAGGTCACATTTTGAGGTCCCATGGGTTAGGACTCCAATCTGTGGACAGGGAGGGGCCAAGTTCAACCTGTATCACTCCTCTCACTAAATTCCCCAGTTTGGTGGGTTGCACGATACCATTCACCCATCCCTAAAGCCAGGAACCTGGGCATCACCTTGGACTCCTCCTCCCTCACCCCCACAGTCAGGGTCTTCTTTCTTTCTCCCTCTGTGATGGTCGCTTCCAAGGCTGGGTCTTCACATCTACTTTCCTGGATGATAACAGCACCTTCTGCCTGGCATCGCTGCATCCTCGTGTACTCCTGTGCCCAAAGTGACTCTTCCCAAACACAGCACTCAGCATTTCACTATTCGTTTTGAAATTTCCCAGGGCCTATCATGACTTTCAGAATCCAATGCACACCCTTGAGTTTATCTGTGATTGGATCCATCTGCTTCATTAGCTTATTTCTTTCTACTTTTCCAATATTTGCTCCCTACAACACATCGGACTTCAGGCACTGCTGATCAAAACTTGCCATCAGCCTGGTGCTGTGCCACTGTTCTCAGAATGAGCCTTTAACCTTGTTTCACTAATGAGATAGCTGACGTTGACAGAACTGCCTCCTCCAAGGCTATCAGAGTAGATCTTGGTCTTCTTTGCTACTGGCTGCTGTGCTCACCCACTGAGCAACATCTTGAAACTTCTATTTGCTCGTCTTAAATTTGTGAGCAGTTATGCCATAGACAGTCTGGGATACTTGTGGAATTATACAATACAATGCATCAAAGATTTAGAATGGTACATTCTCAGTAAAAATTGCTATTACTGCTGTCAAAATTCCTCTTAGCATTATTATTATATTACCACTAGTAGCTTATCCACTGTCATCAATCAACTCCTGAATAGTTCATGCTATTTTAGTTTCAATGCCAGTTTTCTTGCATGCTTTTGCCCTTCCTTCCTCTCTCTCCTTCAAATACAGTGGCTCCTCCTTAGGCATCTCCTCTTCCAGGAACCCTTTCCAGTCTCCCAGGCAGAGTTGGTTTGGTGCCCCCACAGGTCCGGGTGGCTCCTTCCCCAGGTAAATGACCCCCAAGCCTTCTGTCTGGGAGCTCTGTGAAGCGGGGACTCTGAGAGACTCACTGTGTCTTAGGCAGCTCTGTACCCCAGCACCCAGGGCAAGGCCGGGCACACAGTAGGTGTATGGTAGCACTGGCTGAATGGGTGAATGAGCACCTGCAGTAGGGCAGCCCTCCTGGGCTTTGGCATTGTGCAACTGAAATACAGCACACAGTGAACACATGCATGCTCTGGCCCAAGCCAAGCCTTTCCACTTCCATTTTCAAGAGAGAGATATTTGGGGTTCAAAAGAGAAGATGTGATGAATCTGGGTTATTTATAAATTTACATTGTCATGTATAACATACCAGTGTTGTATAGTAAATCTTGTAAGTATATGAAATGTAAACACAAAACAATTATATATAATTAGAATAATGTACAATTAGCATTATGTACTGGTATTAAATGTATTGCATAATTAGTGTATATATTTAATTATATATGTATTCAGTAACAGAATTATAGTAATATAGTTTATATAATGAATGTGCTATATAAACATAATATATAATATAAGTATATATTTATATAAAATAAATATATGAATAATATGTTGAAAACACAAACTCAGTATCTTTTGGGAGCCCTTTAGTTCTCCATCAACTCTCTGAGGTAACAAAAATCTCTTAAAGATCCTAAATGATTATTTTTTAAGATTTACTTATTTGGTAAGTCAGAGTTAGAGAGAGAGGAGGAGAGACAGACAGAGAGAGAGATCTTTCCTCTTCTGTTTCACTCCCTAAATGGCCACAATGACCAGGACTGGGGCAGGCTGAAGCCAGGAGTTTTTCCAGGTCTCCCATGTGGGTACAGAGGCCCAAGCACTTGGGCCATCTTCCGCTGGTTTCCTGGGCACATTAACAGGGAGCTGGGTCAGAGGTGGAGCAGCTGGAATTTGAACTTGCACCTTATAGAAAGTTGGTATCTCAAGTGGTGCCTTTACCTGCTAACGCCACAATGCAAACTCCCTCGATAATCTTTCAAAATAAACAATACCCACTATTCTGCAGTTCAGAGACAAGCGCTTTCCCTCACATGGTCGGAAAATCTGCACCTCCCTCTCTGGCTCTCAAGGTGAGTCAGGAGCAGCACCTCATTTATCTCTCCTCTCCTACCTGCTTACCACAAAGCATGGACTCAATAAACATTTGGGGAAGACAGTGAACTTTCAATAAAAAGGAATTTGCCATTTAATTCCAGACCCAGCACATAAAGTGAACAAGACAATATGTTTCCCCGGCACCAGCAGTAAACGGAGGTTTGCATGTACTTGTTCTTAATTGACTCTTCTTCCCTCTTTTGAACAAAGGATCCTGCTCCAAGGGCTTAACAATATCGCAGTAAGAGCAGCAATTTCTTTTGTTCCACCATGTGCCAGGTCTTAAACAAGCGCTTCAATAAATCCTTAACCCACTTTTACAGGCAATATTTCTTGT